CCCCGAGAGCGGGCACGGCTCCGCGGGCGAGCCCCGAGACACCCGCGGCCGTGGGGGGCTCCGAGCCCCTGCTCGGCACCTCCCGGGCAGGGCTGGGGCAGAGCAGCGCCCCGGGCAGGCGGCGCTCCCCTCACGGCTCAGGCGGGAGAGCAGGCGCGGAGAACACAGGGATGTGCTGCCTTTGCCGGGTTGTAACAGCCCCGCCGTGTGCGGGTTAATTGAGGGTCATTAACCTGCCCGGCGCTCGGCGTGCAGGGTTGGTTTTAAGGTGGATTTCTTCGGGGGTTTGATCGCACTTAATAAAGCCGGCATTTAATTAGTTTTAATTGCTTTGCAGATTTCACAGCATAAGCGGCGTGAGCTGCGTTGGGAACAATGAAATCCTGCCTTCCCGGTGGCACTGTTCAGCCGGCATCATCTGAATTAGGCTGCATTCCCGTGAAGATGAAGTCCTTTGAGTGACCCCACCACAGCTGGATGGTGCCAGGACTGGCTGACAGCTTGCAGCCTCTTGTTTTGGTGTGTTTCTTTCTTTTTTTTTTTTTTTTTCCTTTTTTTGTTTTCCATACCACTCCTCTCACCACTGCTCTGCCATCTTTCACATTCCCTAGCAGGCTGTCTCTGTTTTCTCCCATCCCCTTTCTTCCCTTTCCCCTTTCTCCACGTTGTTTTCTTCTTCTAGAACTCCCAAGTTTCACAGGAACACCAAGCCAAGGCTCCTTCCAAGCCTCAGACAGAGCAGGTTGTCTCTGCCTCCTCTGGACAGAGCAGGTGGAACAGGTTCACTAATGTGATCACTCCTCACATGGAAGCAACTGTTCTGCCAGAAAAACTTGTAGACTCTTAAATGAGACCTCTGACAGGTCTCCTTTCAAGGCTTTTAAGTTCCTTGCTCTGTCACTATTAACTGGAGAAGACGAGTGTTTAAGATTTTTTTGAGATTGGTTAGGACAGCTCATCCTGAGGAGGAATACAGGCTTAGTTGTAGAAACTGCCATCCCAGGTTCTGGGGTTTTGTTTCCAGGAGTGATTGGCTCCAAATCTTTTAACAGCAGGTATGGCCAAGTAAACACAGAGTACTCTCTTCTCATAAAAGACTTGTAGATTTAGGATTTTTGTATTGATGTTCCTTCTGAAATCCATTTTCGCATTAGCTGTGATCATTCGAGGTAATTTTATTTCCCCTGGTTTTAATCTTCATACCTTCTTGGATTCTGGTATCCCACAGCCTTGAGCTGGTCAGAAATAAGTATTTCCTTTTATCAGCTGCATATTTGCTACTGCTTTAGTGTCTGGATTCACCACTTCTTCTTTCATGACACCATAAAATAAAAAAGCCCCTCATTTACCTTTGCAAGAGCACCAGTATCTATAATTTTGTACTTTCACCACTTCTGTCCTTCCTAGTTGTGAGTTGTCCTTTGAAGCCAGGGCAGAATCCATGCTGACCATCATGGGCAACCCAGAGTTCTTAGAAGACTTCACCAGGACTCACTCAGGGCTGCAGACAAGGTTCAAAGACAGCCTAAATTTTAAAGTACCAGCATGGGTGCCCAAAGTGTAAGGCTGAAGTCCTTAGAAAGGCTGAAGCATTCACTCTCTAAATTCCAAATCATCAAATATAGATTTTACTTTACTTAGAGCTCTTTCAAAGGGCTCAGTACAAAGTAGTGAAAAATGTTCAGCACTAGGAGACTATAGTTAAGAGGTAAACATGAATTACAATCACAGGCTGCCATAGTACTGTCAGAATTTCTCTTTACTTTTTCCTCAGTTTCCTGAGCAGGCAGAGATGAAAGTCATCCCAAGCATGACTTGTTAGAAGTAATGGCTGCTTCACATATTTGCTGTCAGAAACAGGGAGAAGACAAAAATATGCTGGTTAAAGGCTCAGACAAAGCCATTTCCTCTACTTGGTCATACAAGGTGAAATACTTTGCCATGCTGGAGTTTCTTCTATAATAGCAATAGGAATGAGGACTTAAAGAACTTTTTCTATACAGTGGTTCATTGGAATCTCATGTGATAACATGACTACCCAGAGCTGAAAACAAACCTAACAAGGATTGTAAAACTCATGGAAAAAAACAGGTGAGCCACAGTTGTATTGCTGGTGAACAGCAGTGTGAGCCAGTTTTCTGCCGGAGGAAAAAATCAATCCTGTGGACTCATATGATGTGAATCTAATTAATTTTGTTTATCCACTCAAACCAGTCTGGAACAGATCATCTCAAACAGCATCTGAACACACCCCTATTCTGAACTCCCAGCCAAAGCCCAAATGTCCTGTTCTCAAAGAGAACTGAGCAGCGACAAGAAGTCAGAACATACCCTGCCTACTCTCCAGACATCCGTGCAGTGGAAAAACATCTCCAGTTAGGTATTTGCTTCCAAGAATCAGAACATCCCTGCACACCATGACCTTGCAAGGCTGAATGCAGCAGCACCATCTGGTGATGGCTGCATTGATCCTCCTTGCACGGCTCTGGGGGCCAGTCAGGTCTGCAGGAGTGTGGATTCTCTTCCTTTCCCCAGCAGGACCTTGGAGACCAGGCTCCAGGCATGGCAGGGTGAATCATTCTGTGCTCTCGGGTGCTCAGGGGGGCTGAGCTCTTCCCAGCACTTCCTGCCAAGCTGGATGGTTCCCTGAGCAGTTAGCCCATGACACAGAGCTGTTCAAGAACCCACAGAGAAGAGTGAACAGATCTCCTGATATGCCAGAGCAGCCGTGGTGGGAGCCATGCAGTGGCAACAAGTAGGAAATAAAGCAGAAAGGCAGTGCAATCTGAATTATGGGTAAATTACAGGATAAACAAGCCAGGTTACAGGCAATCTAATTAAGCTGCCACTCTAGGAGAAGGTTGTAGTGTAGTAGTGGAAAACCACCTGTTAAAAAAAACAGCTTAGAGCTCACCAAGAATCAAAAAGACAAGCAGACTATTGGCAATTGTTTGAAACAACTGACAGCAATGCCAAAACTGTCACCCAGGCACTGTATAAATGACATACCATTTATTGTGTGTAAATCTGCTTCTTCCTCCATCTCAAAACATGAAGAATTGATCTAGGAAAGTCACAGAAAAAGATGACAAAGGTGATGAAAGGCAGGAAACAGAGTAGTGAAGGGAAAGAGGATGCCTAGCTGGATATTTCTGAGTCTGGGAAGGAATGAATGAATGAAAAGGAAAACATGAGCAAGATTTGTACAATCATAACCCACATGAGCTGTATGAATGGGAAAAGGATTTTTCATCTTTTCCCAGCCAAGACCTAAAGGACACTTACAATTATTTTGAGGTCAGAGGTTTAAAAACATACAGAAGCAAATGTGTTTTCAGAGAATTCATAGTTATAATTTAGAGTTCATTGCAATAAACAGAGGCCAGAAATATAAACAGCCTTATCCAGGACTAGGTGTTAATGGAGAATAGACTTAATAGTGGCTACTGACTACAAGATAAACCCTGGCCCTGTACTGTAATTTCCATATTTAAGTAAAAAACTGAAGAATGACACCTCCTTAGGCTGGCTCAGGCACCATTCCCTGCAGGTGGTCAAAGATGGGAACAACTCCCTAAGTTTATTCCTGCATTCTTCCTTCAGGTCACAATAACCTTAAGGATAAGTTTATGCAACTTCTCTCTTATGTTTTTTGGAATCTGTCTGAAAAACTTCCAGTTCAGCTCCACAAACAAAGCCAAAGAGTTTGGCCAAGTCCTGTTGTAATATTATGATTTAAGCCTGGCCTCATCTCACACTACAGATATACACAAATTAGAGCCCATTCATGCACCCTGTAAAATTCTCCATTTCTTTTTCCTACCAAACTGTGTGTTATTCTCTTCCCCAGTAACCTATAATTCTGTAATAATTTAGTATCATCCTCATTTGGCAAATTAAGGGCAAAGTCTTAAATGGCTCCACGTTAAATTTCTACCAGACACTGGTTACGTTCAGCAGTGAGTCTGTAAAGCAATGGAAGAATTTTGTCTTTAACAATTACCATTGCAAAAAGTGCCAGTGACACTTTTTGTAACTGAAACTGCAGCTAAATACACTATAAAAAAATCCAAAAATTAAGAGAACTGTAGAGGCAGTTGAAGTAGGAACTAACTGTATTTTGTTCCTCTATTAATTTTAGTCTATTTATACCACTTCCCTTTTATAGTTCTTTCTATAAGACTGCTTGTTAAACCTTTAAACAATGACAGCTGCTGAAGACTGAATATCCCATATGTGGAATCATTTGTGGTCTAGGGAGAAATAAAAAAAAAGAAAAGATCAAATTCCTCTCTAATGATAATAATTATAGGATCAATCCAAAACTCGCTGAAGTCAAAAGCAAAGCTGCCACTCATTTAAGCTATACAAGAATCAGCCCTCGTTCGTATGTTTGCTGTTGATCCTGATTTATTCCAGTGCAAAACAGAAAAAGAGATTGTAGCCTAATATCAGCTTTTCCTGGTTGACATGCATACTGATTTTCCACTACTAAATTGTAGCTCACCTGATCCTTATTATTTTTTATTTTTTGGAAAACACCAGGTCATTTTATAAAGTGCTGGTATTATAAACTGCAGAATATAGTTTATAAGAGCACTAACTCCTACAAGCCAAGCATTAATACAGCTAATGGCCTGTTTGTTGTATTAAACTGCTCTCATTTGTCTGGGTTCATTAACAAATGCAGTAGTCATTAACTGTTAACAGCAACTCAGTTATTAGATTTTATTACTTGTACAGGAAACACTGGAGAACAAACTGATTGTTCTGGTTTACTGGAGTTTATTTCTTTCCCAGCAGTCTTGCTCTATTATTTATAATTTAGTTTCTCACTTATTCCCGAACATGATGGAAACGCTCAGAAATGGGTTCAAGGCATCCATGTGGACACTCAGTTCACATGCCAGCCCCCTACCCCTGAGCCCAACAAACCTCTCCTCTAAACCACAGAGCTCTGGGGCACCTGGCATCTGCAGTGCCCTCTGCTTTCCTGATTTTTCTGTATTTTTTTGTTGGGCAGCAGCTTCTACCCACATACATAATAATGGAATTTAAGTAAAAGATCCAGTAATGTGTAGGAGGCTGGAAAATCTTCTGCTTCATTCATGGTTCTCTTTTTCTAATCTACTGAAATCCAACATTCAAGTTTAAAAATGTCTTTTATTTCCTCTTCATGGGGACTCATGCATCAACTGAGGGTGAATGCTTTCTGTCCCTCATTAACATTTAGTCCAGATCATTGTACAGTTCTCTTCTGGTCTTGTGGCTTACAAATAAGCTTAGAGCCACAGTCTTGCAGATGACTGGGCATGAGGAATATTGCCAAGTATTACTGAGATATGAAAGGCCTTCCCTTCCACATTTTGAATGCTGAAGTCCCCTGATCCACTTTTCTCTCTGCTTTCTTCCCCTTTTTGCAGCTCAAAGCAATGGAGAAACAGCACCAGTGTCAAAATGCCATGAAGGACTGGCAGCAGCTTGTCATGGAAGTGGCTTTCATGTAGCAGTGGGAGCAGCGTTCCTCAACCTGCAGTGCCATGGTGCACAAATGAGGGAGGAGACACCCAGAAATGCATTGTAGTGCTCTTTGGGAACAGGATCTTCTGGATTCCCTCCAATCAGTGCTGGACCCAGCCTGTGTTGCAAGACACCTATCAGCCCTTCAGAGGTGGAGATGTGTGAAATGACTGTGCTTTTCCCTCTGTGTGGTTGGGTATATTTAATGGCATTGAGATAACTCAATTTCTGAGCTGTTGGTCCTTTCCTACCGCACTGCAGTTATTAATGGTACTTTTAAAGTTGTTCTGTCCTACAAAAGCATACCTGGTCTTGGTGACCCAGCCTGTTCACTAAAGGCTTGGGTCAATCAGATTGGGCCACAACCAGCACAGGCTATTGGTGGCAAATGTGATGCTTAACTCTCTGCAGAGGAAAGGTCATGCTCCTCCAAATTAAGTGATTCACGGTGCAGTATCTGAGTGCATTGCACTGGAGATGCCTCACCAGCCCTGCTCCCGCTTGGCTTGTGAAATGGGATTTTATCATGGTCTGACTACACACAAAGTGGTTAGAGGACAAGCATGGACTTCAAATTTGGTCAAATTACATCAGGCCAGTGCCACCTGCAAGCCCATTCAGATGTTATGGCAGACAGTGGATCCAATATGAAGAGGAAAAAGGTGGGAGATTTTGTTAAGAACAGGCTCAAGACACTGCTGGTTTGTACAACCAAGGATTAAAAAGTGCTTCTGTCATCCCTGGGGCAGGGGTTAAAGCCTCTTGTGTATGCCCATGCCTGTGTCTCATGTGGTATGAGCATGGGGATGTTGTAGTGCTGGGGACTCAGAGATATGAGTCAGCTTATCTGCTCCTGCCTATAAACAAGGCACTTGGGATACAGCTTCCCTCCTATCAGCTTCTGATAGCAACTTCCTTCCTACCCTCTTTCCCAAGCCAGCACGTGCTAACATGTTGTGCAACAGAACCGGTTGGACAAGAAATTCAGAAGTACTCTAGGAGCCCAAGGATGTGCACTTTATGCCTTTAAGCAGCAGAGGCTTGCTGGGAATGGCCCCAGACTGTCAGGTGTGTGCATTTACCTTCTGGAAACGGGGTAGAATAAAAGAGCATCTCTGCCTCTTTCAGCTCAGAACATAAAAAATCCTGGGATTTTCCATGAGGAACATAATAAATCCCAGGATTTTTTGTGAGGAGCAGCAGGAGAGTTCAAACACTGAAGAGACACCAGAGTCTTTGTCCACCTGGAGTGCTGCATCCAGCTCTGGGATCTCCAGCACAGGAAGGACATTGAACTGTTACAGATGGTCCAGAGGAGGCCATGAGGATGCTCAGAGGGCTGGAGCTCCTCTGCTGCAAGAGTTGGGGGTGTCCAGCTCCAGGGAGACTTTTTAATAATTAAAGGGGGCTTGGAAGAGAGATGGGGACAAACTTTTAGTAAACCCTGTTGCAATAAGAGTAATGGTTTTAAACTAAAGAGAGTTGATTTACATCAAATACAAGACACAAGAAAGACTCTTTTAAACAAGGGTGGTTAAACACTGACAGAGAAGCTGTGGGTGTCCCATCCCTGGAACATTCAAGATCAGGTTGGATGGGGCTCTGAGCAACCTGATCTAGTTAAAGATGTCCTTGCTCACTGCAATGTGTATCTAATGTTATTCCTTAAGAAGTAGGGTGTTGTTCTTTTCCTGAATAATTTAACTTTGCAAATTTTTAAGTTCTCCAAAGACTGAACTATGAGCTGAGCTAAAACAATAGTAGGCATTGTTTAACACTAAAGCAGACTAAAGAGGAGGAAAAAAAATAAATGTATTAATGTTATGGGGCTATTATGACTACATGTTGC